GGCCCCCGTAGTCGCCGCCACTAGTTTCCTTGCACCGGACCCGAGGCTGCTTCCCGCCGTTCAGGACGACACCATGAAGATCAAAGATGCCAAGAAACCCTGTAAGATGGGGGCGGCTTGGGTTCGCCGGGCGGGGAGCACCCACCCCCGGGCCCCGGGTGGGAGCCTCTTGGCCGAGCGCTGGATACGGAACCCTCCGCTCCTTGCCCAACCCTAACACAGAATTCCGGCGGCGGAAGCCTCCCAGCTCCCGGGTTCGAGCCTCCCCTTTCCCCCCACCCGTGCACTCGGGATGATCGCCCGCCGCCCCAGACCTTTCCCTCCTAGTTGTCGATATCTGGGAGATGCAGGAGGGGCTTGTTAAGTGAACCCGGGTTTTCTAAAACGACACTGGAGCCACTAAATCTCCCTGGGAAGCGTGGCTGAAAAGAGGTGGCCATAGCTGTCACGTTGCATGGGAGGTACATTGCCACCAGGTTTGAGTGATTACCGGACTTCCTTCTGGCGTCCTTGAAACCACCGTGGATCCTAGGAATTGCCACTTAAAATTGCAGCCTTTTAATCCCACGTGCTGGGTAACCAGCTTGCTGCTCGCTCTGTCTTGCCTTATTTTTATTCCGAGTAACGACTAGTTCAAGTTTGCTGTAGAAAACGCAGCTTGGAAAATCTTTATTCCATGTCCTTGGAGGCAACCATTATTAATTTATCGGTGAATACCCAGAGAGAATTTACATGCATATCAAAGAAAGGCTTTCGACTTTTTTAGTCTGGGAAACCCTCAGGGGCGCTTCTACCCTGTCCTGTGCATGTACTTTTCTTTACAAACATTCTTAACGTGTTTGGAGAAAGTAGATGAATTTCATTTGCTCCTTTTTATTTTCAGTATTTTAATTCCTTTTGATCCTGAGGATTTATTTAATCGCTCAGCTCTTGTGATTGCCATATACTTTTTGTGATTTGGGTCATGCCAAGTCTTCAGAGAAATTTGGGGATTGGGATTTCTGTCTTTACAGTGGTATTGATATTTCTCAGATTTTACAGTTCTGTCGTGTAGTGTCTCTTCAACTGATGTTTTTAGCAGTTCCAAGTGGGGACTAACACTGAGGGCTCTTTCAAAAGTGCAAATTAAGTTAAAGCCCTTTGAAAACTATAGTGTTAGCCCTTGGGTCCTATTAAGCTGAGGAGATCCCAGTTTTGGAGCGCCAGACCAATTTCTGAGGGTACACCCCCCCCCACTAAGTGCTGTTGTGGCTGAACCAGAGTCACCTGACCCAAGAGTCCAGCCTTTTTACCTCCTGCATCCATAGGTCTAAATTCTTGCAGAAACAAACTCTCTCTCAGCTCAGGTAGTTTTAGCTGTTAGTTTCTTGTGGCCACTTAAGAGTTCCCGTTTGAAGAATCTCTGCAATTAGCCAGTGAGGTACTTAATGACACGACTTCTCAGCACAGGATTTAGAAACTTGGCAGTTTACATTTGCTGAATTAATCATGTATTTTGAGTGATGTGTGACAATGTACTGTATATTGTTCACCACTTAAGTAAGTTTTAACTATGACATCCATATTTCCTGGCGTTGTGTGTGGCATGGTTTAGTGTTTGGGGTTTTGTTTTTAGAAAGGATATTTATATTAATGAGCACTTATTTTTAGGTAACTTGAATAGTGATACAATATGAGACTTAATCTTTTCCTTGGGTAAAAATGTGTATTTTATAGCAGCTTTATAGTGATAAAATTCCATGGTACACAATCCACCCATTTGAAGTATACAATTTTATTTTTGAATTTTTGTGTGTGAATTAAGTAGGGGGAAGGAGAAGGAGACCATTAATCTTAAAGCAGGGTCATGCTGAAAAAACAGTATGAATTATAATTTAAAAATAATGTCAGGTTTCTTATGTAAATAGGACTTTTAATTCTTTGTGGTAAAAGTAAAGACCACTTTATTTTTTGTGGAAGGAAGAGAAGGCCATTCAATCATGAACTATCATGAAAAGGTCTATAACTGGAAGGTACATTCAACCTGGTACATACCAGGTTACATGGGTTAGCTAAAAATGCTTACTTGATTTTGATTGGTTTTTTAAAATGATTTTATTGGGGGCTCATACAACTCATCACAATCCATACATACATCAATTGTATAAACCACATTTGTACATTTGTTACCCTCATCATTCTCAAAACATTTGCTCTCCACGTAAGCTCCTGACATCAGCTTCTCCTTTTTTCCCCTCCTGTCCCACTCCCCCCTCCCTCATGAACCCTTGATAATTTATAAATTATTATTTTGTCATATCTTAC